ATTGTTTGTAATGTTTTATGCAGATGCACACCTAATATAAACAAATAACCCATTCTGTAATATGTTTTCTACAGCTATATGTATTATGATACAATAAACCACTTTTACTGTAAAAAAAAACTAAAATATACTACAGTATTTATTACATCTTATTAGTTGATACAGAAAACAGAATGTTGTGGCACTCATAAAAAGAGTTGTAAAGGCTAATAAATATGGTATAATAATCTTTAGTTCAAAAACACTATGTTGATACTAATTACTGTAATTTTTTTATTTGTGATCATACTGCTGTTTATTATTATCTAATGTCATAAGGCTATGAAGACAGTTTTTATTCATCATTCATTTTTCCTCCACTAGAGGTCGCGGTGATGATCAGATTCTCCACAGCTCTGATTCTCTCAGCTCTCGCCGGGTTCAGTGGCGCGCGCCTGTAATCCAAGCTACTGGGAGGCTGAGGCTGCGGATCGCTTGAGCTCAGGGCTTCTGGGCTGCAGTGGACTATGTTGATCGGGTGTCTGCGCTAAGTTCGGTATCGATATGGTTCTCCTGGGGGAGCTCGGGACCACCAGGTCGTTTAAGGAGGGGTGAACCGGCCCAGGTCGGAGACGGAGCAGGTCAAATCCCCCGTGCTGATCAGTAGTGGGATCGCGCCTGTGAATAGACACTGCAGTGCAGCCTGAGCGACAAAGAGAGACGCAGACTTTTACACTAGTTTTTTTTTTTTAAACTTTGATTTGTCTTTCTAACTGTAAAACTGAAGAAATAAAGATTTAGAGATGTATGATGACTATATGCATTATTAATAGTAAGTAATAATTAAAAGTTTACTAGCAGACTTCAAAAAGTTTATTTGTAAACAAAAATACAAAAATCATCTCAATTTCATGTCTATATTTTAAAAATATGCCTTAGACAGAAATATATTGAATTTAATTGAAAATATATCAAATTAAAATATATATATAGAGAATAATTTTACTTTAAACATAAATGGCACATTATAATTTTTGGCCCCATCAGAAACAAAAGTAACACACGGGTAGGTCACAACCAGATTTACTGGCTTCATCATGTTTGTTTTAATTATATCTGACTATGACATTGTTAATTATTTTTTTAATACCACCTGATATTGACGGTTAAAAAGCTTCCAGTACAAAATGGCATTTTTATTGATAAATTAGTTATAGAGTATTATGTCAAATGCAGTTTTAATCTAGAAAGTTTTGTTTAATAAAATAGAGGAGGGGGATATATTTAAGAAATTAATAACAGTTAAAAATAGTAAAGCAAAAGGGTTAGATAATATTCCAGTGCAGTTCCCTCAAAGACTCCCTAAATGCGTCACTCCGATGGTTACACATATTATCAATTTTTCTATTTGTCAAGGTAAAGTTGAAAAAAGCAAGAGTTATTCCTCTTTTTAAGAAATGTAGTAGGTTTGAGGTTAATAATTCTAGGCTGGTATCAATTTTGAGTGCTTTGTCAAAAGGGAGGGAAAAAGTTATTTATTAGCAGATTGAAAAATATTGTTTAAAATGTGACGTATTGTAGAGTTTCAGTCGGGTTTTAGGAAAATCATTCCACTGATTCAACAGTTTCTTTTATTTAACAAATTATATAAAGAGCGATATGGATAAAGGAAGTTAAGTGGGATGGTTTTCTTAGACCTGTAAAAAGCTTTCAATACAGTCGATCACAGGATATTGATTTTAAAAGTAAAGGCAATGGGTTTTGGTGTTTTGGCCTGTAAATGCATGAAGTCTTACCTTGAAAACAGATGTCAAATAGTAGATTTAAATGGTGTGTTTTTAGATTATTCGACCGTTTCTTATGGGGTTTCACAAGGCAGTGTTTTAGATCCTTTGCTTTTTTAATATACATCAATGATTTAAAAATGGCCCGTTCAAAAAAGCTTTTGTTAAATGCGGATGATGCAGCAATAATTGTGTCTCATGAGAGGAAGGAATTTATTGAAAATGAAAAAAGTAAACAAACTGAGGAAGTCTCTTAATGGTTTAACCTTAATAAATTGTCCTTACACTTGTGTAAACCAGAATTTATTTTATTTGGTTCAACTGCGAAACTGAGAAAATGTGTCAGATCAGAGGTAAAAGTAGAGCATCAAATTAATGAACACAAACATGAAGGGAAATATTTAGGTTCCATTTCAGACAGTAATTTGACAGGTGAGAAGATGGCTGTTATAGTCCATTCAAAAGTTCTAAAATTAGGTTTTTAGCAAGACAGACAGAGCTCTTAGATTTCCAAACTTTACAAATATTGGCTAGTGCATTAGTGCAGTCATACTTTGACTATGCTGCAGTCTTTTGGTACAGCAGTAGTTCCACAAAAATGAAAAATAAATTGCAGACGGCCCAAAATAAGTTGCAGAATTGTTATCAAAGTACTTCCACTGACACATTTAAATAATGAATATTATAGTCAAACTAATTTATTAAAAGTTGGAAAAAGGGTCACTTTTCTGAAATTGGTGATGGTGTTTAAGATTTTAAAATATTTAATTATTAAGTTTTAGTTAGTGAGGTACACTGTCATTCTACAAGAGCGAGTAGCAGGGGTATTTGTCCTTGTAGATTTTGGAGTGAAACAGGTAGAAAGTCTTTTCTGTGTACTGTTGCTTGGAATATACTGCCAAGGAGTTTCAAAGAGATTCAATTTGAGAGTTTTTAGAGAGGAAATTAAAAAATGGCTGTTTTACGGTTGAAGTTGAGGATTTTTGTTGTGCTGAGTTTCTGAGCTGATGATGTTTGCACTTTATGATTTGCTTGTTCATTTTTTAAGAATATCGATGACCACGATGGAAATCAGCCTGTGGCTTTATTGTGTATTTTATCCTCGACAGTTTTTAAGATATGAATGTCAAACTGGACTTGTTTGTATATTTTTGTTAAAATTGTTAAATAAAATCAATCAATCAATTTATTCATTCATTTTTATTTAGCTTAGTCCCTTTATTAATCTGGGGTCGCCACAGCGGAATGAACTGCCAACTTATCCAGCATATGTTTTACACAGCGGATACCCTTCCAGCTGCAACCCAGTACTGGGAAATATCCATACACCCTCATTCACACACACACACACACACACACACACACACACACACACACACACACACACACACACACACTATGGCTAATTTAGTTTATTCATTCACCTACAGTATAGCACATGGGTTTGGAGCACCCAGAGGAAACCCACATGAACACGGAGAGAACAAGCAAACTCCACACAGAAATGCCATCTGACCCAGTCGGGACTCCCACCAGCAGCCTTCCTACAGTGAGGCCATGTGTATAAATAAATATATATATATAAAGATACATTATTTTTTCCCTTAATAGCTACATTTTAAAGAAATCTATTTGCTTAAGTCAGCTGAACAGTAAACAACAACAGCAATAGAAACCACCAAAGGACACCATATGAACACAGCCAAAATGACTTATTAGAGCATGCACATCTTTGTCATTCCAATGGATTTTTAAAAATATGTACATGCCGCCTTTTCTTCCATGTTTCTTGAACTTTTCCCCTTTATGAGGAAAACTATTGAATACTATAAAAGCTGTTCAGCGTTTTATTTTTTTCTGATTAACATTCAATAAACTTTAACTAAAAGTTTTAGATTGTGAGCAGGACAGCACACTGGTTCTACCGCAGCATGTTTGTTCATCATTTCTATCTTAATGTGTTGATCATTTTCTTTTGTGTTTCTGTATTGTGTGAAGGTCAACCAGTCCACAGTTTATGCTGCTATAATCTTTATTCAGTTTTATTCATAAACTATGTACAATATATACACTGTGCTCACGTCGGCTCCAGGTCTCTTGGGTGAAGGTCTCTCAGTGACGTGGTCTCTTCTGGTCGCCGTGCGTCTCTGGTGGTGATGGGGAGCGGGAACGTTTCCCTCCGGCATCCTGGACTGAAGATGCTGCACCGGCTGAGGAAGAGGAGGGCAGCGGCTTGGTCTGGCAGGAGAAGGACGGCCTCTTTTTCTTCTCAGCAGCATAGGCCTCACTGAACAGATCAAGCGCAAACACACACAAGCAGACATAATGTGAGATTTTCACAAACAATAGAACATGCTGCAATGCCAAGTACAGTTTACTCACGCGTCTATGATGGGAATGACGTATTTGCCGCTGCCGTCCATCATGACTCCCTTTCGGTTTGGGTCGTCCACCTCCAACAGGAAGCTGCGGGGAATCCCTGTGCTCCTCCGGATGCGCTTATGCGGAGCAGAGCTGCTGCCCTGTGAATTCATGAGTGACAGTCAAACGACAGAGCAAACAATCTGACTGATGGAGACGAGAGCTCAAGTTCACAGCAATCATAAGCTTAGAAAACCCAGTTACCCCTTTAGAGGGGCAGTGCCTAATGTGGTGTCCTGGGATCCCACAGTGAAAGCAGACATAGTTGGGTGGAAGAAGCCCAAGCAGTGTCATGGCCTCACTGATAAACATCAGAACCATGAGAATCAGCTCTAACATTTCTCACAAACCAAACCTGTCAGTGTCTGAACGCTCACCTGCTGGAGTAGTAGCACAGACTGGACTGGTACATCACCGCTTTTAGCTTGTCCTCCTCTGATGCCTTTGCCTCAGCCAGATTCTCAGTCTGTTTCACAGGCATTTGCACATTAGAATTTTATTTTACTGGTCTGCTTAAGAAGCTGTGTGTGTGTGTGTGTGTGTGTGTGTGTGTGTGTGTGTGTGTGTGTGTGTGTGTGTGTGTGTGTGTGTGTGTTTGTGTGTGTGTGTTTGTGTGTATTGTTGTTTGCTTTACACTGTGTATTGATATTCTGCACTACATGTCATTAATGACGCCTCAAATGCAAACACTGCAGTTCAATACAGAGCAGCACAGTGGGGTGAATTAATCATTTGTTCAATACCTTCAACAGCTGCTCCAGTGAGAGGAGTGAAGAATCACCTGTTTGAGAAGATTTGGCTGATGGTCCAGCTTGATGTCTGCAAAACAAAACAAAGGAGCTTGTGTGACTAAAACACCACAGACAGACTCAAACTCTTGATATAACATCTATCAGAGGACGATTGCGCTCATTTCACATGACTTACCCAACAAATCTTCTGTTGGTGGACTTCAGTCCAGCCGCAGGGACCCGTCTGATGATGACCGACGTGTTTTTGGGGATGAGAGCATCATCATCTGTGTATTCTGACAGCAAAATAAAGTTTGAATATAGCAATAATCATTTACCATGGTATACTTTGAGCGCAATTAGCATTTTAAAACACTCAAAACATCACTATATGTCACCATCAGAGTCATGATAACGCATCACAGCTTTTACAAGTCTGTCTGATAACACATCTAATGTTAGTGTAATATAGTTTAAGTGGCTTTTCCTCATCTCACCTTCATCAGTTTGGGCTTTGCTGATCTTCAGCTGGCAGAACTTCAGCCTCTCGCGCCTCATGATCTGCCGCTTCAGCTCTCCCACAGTGATGTTGAGGCCCTCAAACTGGAGCGAGTCGTAGGTGAGTCGACTCTGAAACCTGTAATGAACACAAGACATACTGAATACAAACCACAGTGTGATAACAAGGGTCAAACCTGAATGATGGGAGAAGCAGACGATCAATCGATGTATCCAACAATCAATAATATCAATAATCTGGGAATCAGTTGCCACGAAGGACGCCGAGATCAGATGCCAATGACAGAGCGGAGTTCAAAACAACACAAAAAGAACCGTTGCCATGGATGCTGATGATCACGTGAGGAGGCGCTGAAAAACTTCCGCGTTATTTTCTCATAAATAATAGTGAAATCATTACTATGATAATAATTAAATAAACAGCAGAACAGTTGGACATCTCTGAATAAAATACAGCAGCGTTTCCGTACACGAATGATTCTGGCCTTTGTAAAGAGTCGGGCGAGTCAATGAATCAGTAATTCGTGGCTGAATGAATCACTCAAAGCTTCACTCGATTAAAGCGGTCTCTTGCTGCCACCTATTGGCGATTTGTTTTTTCGTTTTTAAAGTAATTTAACACTTTTTAAAGGCACCTTCAAATTAATTTTCTACAAAAGTTCATATCCGTGTGTTAAAAATGATTTAAAACTCTCTAATCTCATCATTTCTTGCTGTGTTTATAATGTAAATCCATTCATGATTGCCTTTGATCTTCATTATGTGTTAAAATCAATACAATATTAAAGTTGCCTCATCCAAATCCAAAGTTTAGTTCAAAGCTTTATTATACAGCAATGTGTGTGTGTGTGTGTGTGTGTGTGTGTGTGTGTGTGTGTGTGTGTGTGTGTGTGTGTGTGTGTGTGTGTGTGTGTGTGTGTGTGTGTGTGTGTGTAATTGTGGCAGTGGATTACAGTGAATGTAGAAGTGATCAGAAGTGTGTGATATTTATTGTCTCTGATTATCAAAAGAACATTTTAGGAGTCCAAAAGATTTACTGCCTGATGAAGCCTGTTATAATGCAATTATGATGACCCTATAAATCTAGAATTGTCAGAACAATAAAAAATTAGGGAAAGAGATTAATTAGTATTTCTCCTCTTTATTTTGTATGTGTAAGTGCTCCTGGAAGAAAAGTCTGCGTCTCTCTGTGTCGCTCAGGCTGCACTGCAGTGTCTATTCTCAGGTGTGATCCCACTACTGATCAGCACGGGGGATTTGACCTGCTTCGTTTCTGACCTGGGCCGGTTCACCCCTCATTACACGACCTGGTGGTCCCGAGCTCCCCCAGGACTCACCGTGACGCTTCTATGACGATCGCTTCAGCCCCAACTTCAGACACGCCTTCAGTCAAGCGTTCATGCTGAAGCCCCGTGTGAATGGGGCATGAGGCTGCAGATTGCTTGAGCTCAGGGCTTCTGGGCTGCAGTGGACTATGTCGATCAGGCGTCCACACTAAGTTAGGTATCGATATGGTGATCCTGGGGGAGCTCGGGACCACTAGGTCGTGTCAGGAGGGGTGAACTGGTTCAAGTCAGAGACGGAGCAGGTCAAAGCCCCCGAGCTGATCAGTGGTGGGATTGCATCTGAGAATAGACACTGCAGTGCAGCCTGAGTGAAGCAGGGAGAAACAAACTTTAGCGTTTGTATTTTACTACTGTGACATATTTAAACAGTAATAAATAAATAATATCATTTACTAAAATACATTAATAATTAATTATAAATAGGTCATTTATTTTTGTGCAGGTCACTTTAAATTGTCTTTTTAAATATATTTTCAATAGTTGTGGGGCTTCACGTTTGTTTGTTAACATCAAAGACACAAATTACAGATTGTCAACACGGTTATGGTACGATACCGCCTCTCTCTGGAAGATATGAAATTTCAGTAGGAATTCAGTGACTTCATTTCATGACCGCATGGAGGCCAAAATCAGACTGTTTTCAACATCCATGGGTAATAGTATAAAACCACTCTTATACTTGGAGTTTTTACTTTTAATAAACATTTTGTTGAGTATAAGCACTTCATTTAGTGACACAACACATAATTAGGCTGTTCGGACATGGACGGATGTGTTCAGGTTTCACTTAACATTTTAAATCCCCTCGAGTTATTATTATTATTATGTATCATATCAGGCCATTCAAGAATGTAAAGCTTGACAGAGGGCGTGTCTGAAGTTAAGGGCTGACGCGATCATCATAGCAATATCAGCCAATGAAATAAGTCAGCAATCGGTTCTGTCTGAGCTGGTGTATTTGCATACAGTGATCTGATTTGCTGATGCTTCAGTCGACGCTTGAAAAGTTGAGGAGAATCTGATCATCACAGCGATCTCTAGTGGATGAATAATAAAGCCATATATCAAGCCTCCCTCAACATCCCAGTTGGATCCCTGTGTTTGGATCTTATGGAAGTTCATTGGGGCCCAAACGTCTGCAACAAACACGTTATAGTAATTTACACGTTAACACGTTGGTACGCGTTGTTTTTTTTTAAAACTAGTCTCATTTTTCAAAGAAATCTCCGCAGCTGGATGACAAGCATTATAATGTCCCAGGCCATCAAACATAACATTCCTGAAGATGTCTGGCCTTTCATAACACAAAATATCTGCTACAGATCATTGACTGCAAAACATTTATTGTGATTCAAGTTAAATTACATTATACAATTAAAATGATCAGGTTGGAGAACTTATTAAAGGATGGCTTTAAAAATATGACTAGTTAAAAAAAAACGTGTCAAAACGTACCAACGTTAATGCGTTTGCTGCATACGTTTTGGCCCCAACGACCTTCCATAGGATCTGGTTGGATAAAATTTGATAAGAAAAAGACATAAGTCTGGGTAATAGATGATTGGAGTGTCCAATAGTTTTTTTCAATAATTTTGGGTAAATGTATGCCAAAAATTGCATTTAATAAGTTTCTGTAATTTTTAAACAGAAATAAAAATACTATTTTAAAATTAAGATCATATAAATGTGTCCAATTATTTACTGTGTGTGCGTGTGCGTGTGTGTGTTTCTTTTTTCTCCCCACAGATTCATTTTCATGATCAATATCACTGAATAAAAACCCTCCGTCTCAAAGCTTCACCCATCCTGTTCGGGTGTGGACCAATACAGAGTGTCATCGGTGAGTCTGTGAGCCAATGAGAAGACGCGATCCAGCTATCTAGCAAAAGGGCGATGATGCGTCCATGTAACGGGACTCCTCACATCTGCGTTTACTGCCATCAGCCACAAAGCTCATGCTGCTCACGGGAACGAGTGTAAAATAAACTTGAAGGTAAAAGCAACATTTTATCTCTTGCATTGATGGACGATTACAGATGTTTCGGACTTGCTTGAGCAAACACACATGGCTTTTTAATGTGTGTGTGTGTAGTTGAAATTAGTAACATTTACAGCGGCCGCAGCCTTCATGCTAACGCGATTCTTCCTTCTTTGTTACGACAAACAGAAGTAATTCACGCAACACGACAGTGCGTCGCTTGGTTCATGTCAAATGTGAAATTACTTTTTGAAATAGGTGACATGATAAATGTTTCCTGTATGAATGGGTGGGAAATGCTAAGTACTATTTGGACTTGACTGGGCATTTACGGTGATACAGCGTACAAACACGGTTTAAGACTCTCTTTTTGTTTGTTTTCTTGTTTTCAGATGCAGTTCATGCTGCTTTTTAGCAGGCAGGGAAAGCTGCGGCTTCAGAAATGGTACGTGCCGTTGTCTGACACACAGAAGAAGAAAATCTCCCGTGAGGTCATTCAGATGGTGCTGGCACGCAAACCTAAAATGTGCAGCTTCCTGGAATGGAGGGATTTGAAGATCGTCTATAAAAGGTTGGCAAACGACCTGCATCGCATGGAGGAAACTACAGATACATTGTATTTGGCATTTTTCATGAATTCGGTAGACTTGGGTGTTCACTGATTATTTCAAACGCATTACAGGCACTGACGTTACGCTGTTTTTGTGTTGTGATATATACTATTTATATTTGATAAACTATTAAATGAGATGAAGTTGTCTTTGCAAGACAAGGGGCAAGTTTTTAACACCTTAAATGTAAGTAGGACCCCTTTGAAGCGGTAAACATGGTCCGCCCCAACTTAGGGAGTCTGACCTTCTCTCAACTGTATTCAGCAATTCAAATGACAAGAATGTGATGTTGACATATAATTAGTTAACGTAAGTAAATACATATTTACTGTGTATGATTATTATATTTACTTTACTTTGTAACGATAGTTTAAAATACATTGAATTTGATTTAATTAAAAAACATCTACCAACCCAACCAGCAATGAGGAGAATCACAACCATTACAAACCTTAGATTTGTAAACGTATTTGAAGATTGCAGAAAGTAAAAAAGGCACAATTGTAAATGGAATTGTTGTGATTTAAAAAATATACAATATGACTATAAATTATCAATTCCAGCATTATGGATGTAACATTTGCAGTAAAAAAAACTCAAAACATAAATTTACATAGAAAGTATGTTACATTATCCGTTTATATTTTCCAGAACCACTAACTAGAGTTAATGGATCAGAAAATACAAATCAGAAAAAAATTATCTGTAAACATGTTTTGTACTTTAAATGAGGAAAATAAGCATGCGTTATAGATGTGACCAAAAAAGTATTCCAGCCTGTTATAAGGGGTGGTTCTTTTTCTCAAAATGTGGACCTTCTTTGCAGTTACTCAACCCATTTACAATGTATGAGATTTAAAAACTGTATTTTAGTGACAATTAAAGCACTATTTTTAGCTGGATTTGCCTATTAGATCATCATCATAACGAAACATTTAATGTACCAAAATATTTCCTAAAGATTTAGAATAAAGAAAATGAATAAATACTTATTTTAAAATACATATTTATTACATCATAAATCATTAGTGAAAAAAAATAGGAATCTGCTTAAGTTTTAAATTAAAAAACTGCCTTAGCCAACAAAATGGCCAGAACATTCAACTGTCTTCAGCCAGAATTTGGCTATTTGAATATTAAAAAATTAAAACATAATAATAATAAAAGCTTCACAATTTTTCTAGCCTCTCCTGTAAAAAAAAGTACATTTGATTTGATTGAAAATTCATGGATAACAAAAATAGCCATATTAGTTTTTCAAATTAATTTAAACATAGCATTTTGCTTTGTCTTAAAGCCTTTTTCAATGGATTAATTTCACTATTTATGATGGCATAGCAGTCAAAATAAGACACATGAGCTCATGTATGGAACAAATTTTGGACCTTTGTTATTGAGGGGTGGGTCTTTCGAACCACCGAACCCCCCTGGCTATGGGCCTGGTATGCAAGTTTGCAGTTTACAACACGTTTTTTATAAATTCTGTGAATTAAACTGCACAACCCAAAAACAATAATGATATTCAAAAGGATAAGAGTTGGCTCTCTATAGAACAAACATGATTGATTTTATTTTATTGAATATTTTTGCATTTATGCGGTAAAAGCTTTGTTATGGATGTGAGATCCTTTCTATTATGGATGTGACCAATGTGTCATTCCTGTGACTTTGGTAAATCAAATAAAATTGTTTAAAAACATGGACAGAGAAAGTTTTGAGTATTTCGAAAAAGCTGTAAAATACTTGCTTACACACACAAAAAACAACAAATGGTTTCAGTATTTTGGTGAAAACTTACATTTTGTCATGGCAAGGTTGACAATTGCATGGAATTGCTTAAATATAACAACATTGTTCAGTTATTCCAAAGCATTTACAGCATTATAAGCAATCTAGACATTAAATCTTACAGTAGATCTGTCTGTAATGATTTCTACATTATTTTGGAGCAAATAAATTAGATATTTGACTCTTAAATCCTGACTATTCTGAAGTTTATATGTGGAAAGTGTAATTTCATGTAAAGCCTGAGAATGGTTGAGTTGAAAAAAGTAAAAGTAAAATTTTTACTGTCAACTCCCAACTTGGTTTATTGGATTGCCCAATACTAATTGTATTACAGTGTATAAGAAAGCAACAGCCACATTGTAACGTTATTTAAATGTTATCAAGAACGTGGAAAAGAATATCTTTTCAGAACAATACTATCTTCTTTCTGATGGTGTGTACGTAAGTAACAGATTTGCACTGCGGTCAGATTAAAAGAGGAACAGAAAAAAGGCTTTTTGATTTCGTTGTACAGTAAGTTAAGCTTTATTTCACATTTCAGATATGCCAGCCTGTACTTTTGCTGTGCTGTGGAGGACCAGGAAAATGAGTTGATAACTCTGGAGATCATCCACCGATACGTGGAGCTGCTGGACAAGTATTTTGGCAGTGTGAGTTTTATGCTATTATTTGCTATTCAGACTCGAGCAGCTGGTGTTTATCAGATGTTAAAGGAGCAGTTCACCCTAAAATCACATCATTTATTCATCCTTGTTTTGTTTCAAACTCCAAAACCATAAGGGCTTTAAATAAAACCATCCATATGGCTATATTCCAAACTTTCTGAAGCCAGATATTAGCCTTGTTTGATGAACAGAAGGAAATTTGAGCTAGGCAATCTGTTCTGAATAACTTCAATGTGTTTTGAATAACATAGACTTAGACATCATTTCAAAGATGTGAAAATAAATTCTTACAATAGTATTAGTAAAAATAGGAATTCTTGGAATATCTAGGAATTTAGTCCAACTCATACTAATCTACATTAAGCCATAATCACAACAATAATCCTCAAATAACTCCATCATTGTCATCTCATTCTTATCTTATACACTCTTTCACACATGTATATCAACTGTTATTGTAGAAACGCCAGTCAAATCTGTTCTTTTTCCATATCCGTTCTGAAAACCATATGTTTATATTGCTTTTTGAACAAAGTCAAACTCGGTCATTGCTTGTGCTCTAGTCTGTTCCACAGATTCACTCCACACAGAAATACAAAAACGAAAAGATGATGTTTACACTCTCTCCTAAAATCACTCCTTTCCTCCTCATTAATAAACCATTTTGAATATTAACAGGAAGCAAATTATTCTTTGCTTTTATACTTTATTTCTGCTGTTTGAAAATGAAACTAATAAATAGATTTTATTATCTTTGATTAAAGAAATCTCCATAGCCAATTTTACAAATCTGTATTGCTCTTTTTTTCAGCATCGATAATGATGATAATCTACATTTATATATGTTGCCCTAAACCTCTGAGCAATAATTGAAATCTGCTAATATTATTGCACTATAAATTATGTGGAGTGATTTGTGGTTCCTTTATTCAAAACAGAGACACTTTAGTTTATTATGTACGGGATTTATGTGAGATTTCCAACTTAATGTATCATTTATTATCACCCCACAAATGTATTTTTCTTTATTCTTTTTACATCCATAGAATCGCCATCAAACTCTTTCGATATCTATACCATTTCTTTTGTATATGAACTTGAATACTCTTAAAATTTTTGCTAAACACCATACATTTCGTTTTATTACATATAATGATCATTTATTTTGGTGGCGAGGTGGCTCAGTGGTTATCACTGTAGACTCACAGCCAGAAGGTTGCTGGTTTAAGTTCCAGCTGGGGCCGTTGGCATTTCTGTGTGGAGTTTGCAAGTTCTCATCGTGTTCGCGTGGGTATCCTCCGGGTATTCCGGTTTCCCCCACAGTCCAAAGACGTGGTAAATGGGAATTGGATGAACTAAATTGGCAGGATCGTATAAGTGCATGTATGTATGTATGTATGGGTGTTTCCCAGAAAAAAAATTATTGAACGAATGATAATTCTATCAAACCACTTTTTTTAGTTTGCTTATTTCAAAATTAATAGTCTCTGATAACTTTTAAATTTCCCCAAGAACAGAACAATATTTGTCATCTGCAATTAAAATAACATTACTATTTTTGACATATTACTAATATAAATTATAAAAAGTAAAAATAAATTTGGATCGAGTACTGACCCCTCTGAAATACTGCAAGTGATGCTCAAGCATGTAGATGATTATTCTCCCAACTCACTCACGGTACATTCTTAAGAGGCATCAGCGCCAAGGCTTGATGGAGGGCCTGTCGGAAGTTGGGGCAGATGCAATCGTCTTATTTGCATAAATCGATCTAGGGTGCATTTCCAAAAACCATCGTTAGCTAGCTAAGACTGCAAGTTCCATCGCTACAGACATTTGCCGTTTCCCAAATCCATTGTTCCAATGAACATTCGCAAACTGCGTGGCAAACTTGTATGCTTGCAACTACACCTCTAGAGCTGTAATTAGAAGCATAGTTTCTGCTTGTGTTCTATTCCCTGTTATAACCCCTAGGCCCTATTAATTTAGAACATTCTATAAATTAATCTTGCAATGATTAAAAAAAATACAATAAAGTCATCTCTTTTAAGTGTAATATGCTTTCAAAGTATTTTTACAGTTCAGTGTTTAGCGATCTTCATGTTTACAATTGCGCTCCCTTCGTAGTGCACTTTAAAAACATTTATGCCATTTCAAACTCAGCTGTGGCTAATTATGAAAGCTATAGGTGCCCTTTTATTTAAAAGTGGAATTTAGGCTGTTACGTCTCCAAAGCTTGTGAAACAATATACATACATACATACATACATATAAAGTCAGAATTATTAGCCCCCTTTGAATATTTTCCTAATGATTTTAAACAGAGCAAGGAATTTTTCACAGTATGTCTGATAATGTTTTTTCTTTTGGAGAAAGTCATATTTGTTTTATTTTGGCTAAAAAAAAGCAGTTTTGAATTTTTTAAACACCATTTTAAGGACGAATATATTAGCCCATTTAAGCTGTCTTGAAAGTGTCTTGAAAAAATATCTAGTAAAATATTATTTACTATCATCATGACAAAGATAAAATAAATGAGTTATTAGAGATGAGTTGTTAAAACTATTATGTTTAGAAATGTGTTGAAAAAATCTCTCTGTTTAACTAAAATTGGGGAAATTAATATTATTATTATTATTAAGTAGGATTTTTTATTTCTTAATAAATAGACTACTGTAAATTAGGCTTACAACCATTAACGATTTATATGATTTCTATATGAGATTAGAATATGAGTTAGCTAAGTGATTTTATATGGAATATTCTCAATAATATCTGTAAAGGAAACATGTATAAGTCCTATATGTGTCATTTACATATATTTCAATTAATATGAAATATGGGGAAAAAGTGCATGTTTTTACAAAAACTAATGGAATTTTTAAAAATAGTGTATGCATTTAAAACAATTTTTTGCACAAAGTTATGGGGTTTTTCTTAGTAGTTACTCTACCCCGTTTAAAGCGTCGTTATGGGCGTTTTGCAGTATAACTTAACATGGGTCAAACGATAGATCTGTGACAGAGAAACTACGTTTTTGGGAAACACTCGTCCCTGCATCGTTCTATGCATCATACTATGATAGTTAAGCTACAAGTTATGCCGTTGTTTGGGAAACGTACCCATTATTGGCTGACGCTTAAAAAGTTGAGAAATTCCCAACCTCCGCAGCGAGCGCAAATCCATAATTCAGTTCGGCAATGTTTGACGTCACCCATTCAAAGTGAATGGGAAGCATTGACGCTGATGCCCCATGTGAATCACTCACTATCAGATTAGTCTTGATTAATCAGGGGTCACCACAGCAGAATGAACTACTAATTACTTTGGCATATGTTTTATGCAGTGAGTGCCCTACCAGCCACAACCCAGTGCTGGGAAACACCTATAGACCATTTTAAGGGATGTAAACAAAAACAATGTTCCCAATGTATTTCCTGATTGACATTTTTAATTTCTATAGCTTCTGAGAATCCAAACATATTGATAAATAATGTTATGATAGCTGTTCTAACGTAAGGTTATGAATAAACCTAGCTAGTTATGAAAAAGTTTGATAACAAGCAGGAAATGTTCATGAGCCAATGACATGACCACATTGAAGTCTATACACTCTCATTCACACACATTCATTCACCATGGCCACTTAATTAGGTTTTACCCAATTCATCTATGCCACGTCTTTGGACTGTGGAGGAAACTGGAGCACCCAGAGAGAAACCACTGGAACATGGGGAGAACTCACAATCCAGTAGTAAACCCAATACTACTTTAAATTCTAGACATAGTAGCTAATGACCAATAGATCCTTTGAAAAAACTCTTGCAAGTGCTCATTGTGATGCTTTGTGTGTTTGAACACTAGGTGTGTGAGCTGGACATTATCTTCAACTTTGAGAAAGCCTATTACATTCTGGATGAGTTTATACTGGGCGGTGAAGCCCAAGAGACATCGAAGAAGAACGTTCTAAAGGCCATAGAGCAAGCGGACATGCTGCAGGAGGTGAGAAACACAAACACTGCTTGTTCTGAATCTTGGATTTATTTAGTGAAGGTATAAACTAAAATCTGATTCTCATCTTTAACAGGAAGCCGAGACACCACGTAGTGTTCTGGAAGAGATTGGACTGACATAAATGTCGAGAGCACATCCTACTCCAAACGCATCTTACTGTCTTTTTTTCTGTGGGCATTTTCTCCAAGTCTGTATTTTAGGTTAGCTTGCAGGCTAAAGTAGTGTTTAACATAATCAACACTTCCAGCATTACCCATATAGACTCTTGTATTTCTACTGCCAAACATCTGAGGGAATCGAGCACATGGAAATATTAATCTCAGCAGTTATGCAAATTCCCCATAGCGTTCGACTGTTTGGATTAGAATGCGTGTAGCAAAGATTAGCGTTAGCATTAGCATCCCCACAACTTTCCATCTTCTCTGATTTCAAACATTACCTCTCACCTTCAGCTGCCTTAAAACACTCATCTCCAGCTCACACTGTAACTTATGCAACTCTCTGTAGTTCCAAGTCAGCAGTTCTATACTGAGATTTGCTGAAGTGTTACGGACCAAACCATTTATTTCGCTTCAAAGGGGAACCCTAGATAATGTAAGCTGAACACTTAGACTTTTAAGGGATAAATTGTATTAACTAAGGCACAAGTAAACACAACAGTATTAGTAAATTCTTGACCAAAAACACTGTAATAATTTATTCCTGTTAACATAATTGGTATTTGCCTTTTAAAGAGATAGTTCACCCAAAAATGAAAATTTTCTTATCCTCCATTTTGTTCCAAACATGTTTGAATTTCTTCTTAAACACAAATGAAGATATTTTGAAGAAAGCCTTCGACTTGGTATTTGTTTCTCCTATTATGAGTGTCAATAGCTACAGGCTTTTTAGCATTCTTCAGAATATCTCTATTTGTGTTCAACAGATTAAAGAAACTCATAAAGGTTTGGAAGCACTTGAGGATGGATAAACTGAATAAATTTTCATTTCTGGGGTGATCTATGCCCTTTGAACCACTGTTTTATTTTCAATGCCAAAGAATCTTCTCCACCATCTTCATGCCTTTTTCCCTTAAATTCATCTTTATTTTGTTTGACTTTGATTCTCTGACGTCCTGTTGAGGACACGTGTCTTTTGAAGCTCTATATAAACAAGAATAAAAGTCAGATGATTGCAGCATGTTGTCCAATCTTTGGCAATATCTTACTAATAAAGAATATAATTAAATATGCAGACTAGTTATTCTTTGCTTCAGCATGAAATGAAACGTCACTGTTTTGTAAATGCATCTTAAAGGGATAGTTCACTCAAAGATATAATGAAGTAGTTCTAAACTTTTATTGATTTTATTTCTGTAAAAAATAAACAAGATAAGGGGTGGCAGTCATTAGCTTTGTTTCCATCTAACAATGCGAATTAAATGTGTGCACAAAACTGAAATATCGCAAGAAAGATGTGCAAAATAACCTAAAGAATAGTGTTTCCATCCAACGAGTCAAACAGAACAAAATCGTCACTTCCTAATTAACTGGCCAAATATCAAAAGTAAACTAAATTGATTTTGCAGCTGCGTGAATCTTTTCTTTATTTAATAACTGACTTGTGCCTCAGGAGACAGTATGTCGACACGGAATGAGTGCGTAGCGGTGTTTGATGGTGTGAGACACTGTCAGATGTTTTACAATGTGCTCAGTCTGCTGGTTTGTCACCTGATTGTCTCATAAGAAAATCACATGACTTTTTTAATGCTCATACTGTAATTTGTTTGGTAAAAGTGTTTTCATTGTAGTTTATACACATTTTTTCTTTTAAATTATTCTTTTAGGATTTATTTTTAAATGTGGGTAGGATAGTGGAGGTTACAGACAGGAAAGTATTGGGAGCAAAGGACCTCGAGCCAAGAATCAAAATTGCCGTGAGCACCATGGTGCTATTTATCAGCGCAATTAACTGATAGGCTATTGGTGCTGGAACGCTGCTTTTTAATCTAATAAATCTTAGCGTTTCCATCCACATTTTTTATGCCCATATCAGAAATGCGCATTTTTATTCTTCACTTTCACCAATTGGTAGTTTTTTTTTTTCTCACCGCTGTTGCCTCTGGCTTGCATAGTTTGGGATTTGTAGAACTGCGCATCGATAGATTTGCTTTTCAGTGTTTGGACTCTCAGCAGTGAATACTAAACCACACTGAACTGAACTGAAACTGTTTCAAATCACTATAATCTTCCGTGAAGCTGCTTTGACACAATCTACATTGTGAAAGCGCTATAAAAATAAAGATGAATTGATCTGAATCGATGGTAGGAACACAAAATACTATGGAAGCCAGTGGCTGTTTTACAACATTCTTCAATTTATCTTCAAAAGAAACTCAAATAGGTTTGAAACATTGGACGGGTGACATTATTTTTGTTTTTGAGTGAATTGCCCCTTTAATGAATTTGAGCTCACATTAAAATGTTTTCCTGTCCCTATCCTACATTTTTATTTCTTTACAAAAATATGTTTTACTCTGACGCACACAGATGAGCCGAAACATCACATACGCTGAAGAGTGAACTCTGCAGGACCCCTGAAGGTGTCCTGTGATATCTGGCTTCAAGTATTGGCAGAACACCCTATCGTTCTGTAGATCATAATGTGGATTTATTCTGGATCTAACTTGTTCATTCATTCATTTCCTTTTCGGCTTGGTACCTTTATTAATCAGGGGTTGCCACTGTGAAATGAACCGCCAACTTATCTAGCATATGTTTTACACGGCAGATGCCCATTCAACTGCAAGCCATCACTGGGAAACACCCATACACTCTCTTTCACACACATACACTATGGACAATTTAGCTTATTCAATTCACCAATAGCGTATGTCTTTGGACTGTGGGGGAAACTGGAGCACCCGGAGGAAACCCACACCAACACAACATGTAAACTCCACACAGAAATTCCAACTGACTCAGCAGAGGCTTGAACCAGTGACCATCTTGTTGTGGGGCAACTGCGCTACCCACTGCACCACCTGGATCTAACTTGTTGACCTATAAACCTCACAGATGTTCAACTGGATTGAAATCTGGAGAATTTGGAGAGCTTGAATGTATTCTATAAAGCAAGTTAATTTACTTACACATTATCCAACGACATGGTGGCTTTGTGATTAGCACTGTCACCTCACAGTAAGATCACTGGTTCGAGTACCGGCTGGACCACTTGGCATTTCTCTGTAAAGACTGCATGTTGTGATTGTGTGCGTTTCCTGCAGGTCGCTCCGGTTTCCCTCACAGTCCAAAGACATGCGCTATAGGGGAATTGCATAAACTAAAATTGGCCGTAGTGTAGGAGTATGTGTGTGAATGGGTGTTTCCCAGTACTCAGTTGTGGCTGGAAGGACATCTGCTGCTAAAAACATATGCTGGAACAGTTCATTCTGATGTTGTGACCCCGGATAAATAAGGAACTAAACCAAAGGAAAATGAATGAATGGATAAATAATGTTGAATTCTGGGTTGATTAACCCTAAACCTGCTTACACAAAGTATGATAGATCCAAAAGCAGTCTTAGGAATAATTCAGTCAACTCTGAGTATGTTAGCCCTGAACACAAAAGACTTTCCATATACCGAATAATATCATAAATCCCCATTGAAATACATGTCAAAAAGTAAAGTGCCACACCTCTTCTTCTTTTTAATGGCGTGTTATTACTAGGGCTTATCTGCCATATTAGAATTATCTTAAAGCCTTGATCTTAAATCATTTCAAAAAAAGTTTTTTTTTTTTTTTTAATTGGGAACAAGATGCTAACTACACATGCCAAAAATGGCTGGTCTACCATTTGTTTAAAGGTGATTTATATTTATATAAAAAATTACAAAAGCAATATATTTAATCAAAAAATGGTTAACACTTTACATGAAGGGATGTTCATTAGACCTTCATAATCATGACATGACTTGTCATTAATGTGAATGAGATTTTATGCCTGCTTATGACAGTTGTAATTATGTTACATGCTATGGTTACGACAAATTAACATAAATACAACCTAACATTACCAAGACAACATAACTTGTCATAAATCTGTCATAAACATGATTGTCTTCAGGCCATTATAATAGTCATGAATATAACGTTTTCGGTGGAACAAAGTGTATTTGTCACTAAAATGTCTCATTAAGTGTCATTACTCTGTCAAATATGTATGTGCGTAATTAATATGTAATGACAAATTCAGCTTGTTTCACTGAAGCTGAGGTAAAAAAAAAGAAAAAGATTAACAATGCTGCTATAGAATTCATGACATTTCTAATGGCATCATGACATTCATGTTTATGACAGATTTATGACACGTTTTGTTGTCTTGGTAATGTCAAGCTGTCATGACAGACAAAAACAGGTTGTGATGTATTTGTTTATGTCATATTTGAATTTAAAATGTTATAAGCATGAATAAAAATATAATTTACATTCATGACGTGCCGTGTCATGATTATGAAAGTTGCATGACAGTCTTAAGAACAGCCCTTCAAGTAGTGTTATGGAAAAACTATACTAAATAAATACCAGTACAAATTATTAATTTAATAATAGGGTTGTACTGAAAATTTCTAAAATTCATTAAGAAACATTTAACAACTCAGAGGTGAACTAAACCTAAGATAAACTTAACCTGCTCTGAAGCAGTCAGAGCGTAAATTGCAACTGCAACTTACCCTAAAAATTATCTTAGTTAGGAGAATCTGACATTATCCGCTTGATATCCTTAAACGTCTCCAAGTATGTCACATAACCTGCTCTCTGGAATACCCCTAGGTCAACATTTCAACTCTATGTCTTTAAAAGATTAAAAACCGACAATGTTTAGCAAGGTATCATAAATTTACATCCACATGAATTGCTGGACCCAGGGTTTCTAAGCGTAACATTGTTAAGAGCATCATCACGCTCCATTCAATGGGTTGTTGTTGTCTTACAGGGCATCTGATGCCATTACGTCCATTCAATCAATGATCAATTTGGTTCACCCATGACTGGTCGTAACCTTTCGACTCATCATTGTACATGACAATCTCGAAGAAAAAAAAAAGCCACTGAAAATGAGCAAAAAGACGATCGCAACACTTTTTACAACATTTTAAAAAACACTAAATTTAATTACAACTGTACAGGCAAGTATTTATCAGAGGAGTCTGAAAACCAGCCATGTAGTTATGCAAACTAAAATAACATCAGCTGCATTAAAGAGTTACTTCATCCAAAAATGAAGACCCTTTTAATAATGACTCACTCCCATTTGCTCCAATCCACTGAGACTTTCATTCATCTTCACAACACAAATGAACATATTTTAGATCAAATCAGAGTGCTCCTTGATTCTCTATAGACATCAACAGTCTGGACATAAATAAGGAACCAGAAAACACTCCATGTGACTTCAGTGGTTCAACTGTAGTCCTTTAAAGCGCCTAGAATAAGACTCTATTGGCAATATTTAGTATAGACTAGAGTTAACGCGAACCAACAAACTGACGCATGACAGAAGACTAACGAAGTTATATTTACAGTTTTGTTGCACTTGAAGCTTCATATGGATTACAGTTGAAAAACTGAAGTGACATGAAACACTAAAACAATTCTGGGTTCCCCGCAATTCCTTCATGCTGTCCCAACACAAATCGATGAAGTTAGCATAAATGTTTTTATTAAGTGGACTGAAAATATAAAAAAAGAATTATGTAGATAAGTAGTGTGAACAAGCAGCAAAAATTATATTTTAAGAGAACGTCTAATGTTTTTGGTTCTTATTCTGAACTTTAACCATTTTGGAACAGTTGCTGTCTATAGAGTAGTGTTTTTCAACCATGTTCCTGGAGGAGCACCAGATCTGCACACTTTCCATGTTTCCTTAACACAAACACACCGGATTCAGATCATCAGCTCATTAGCAGAGTCTGAAAGACCTGTGTGTGTGACAGACAGAAAGAAAATACATCCAAAACATGAAATGTTGGTGGTCTTCCAGGAATGAGGTTGAGAAACACTGCTATAGAGGATGCGAGAGCCTCAGATTTCTCAAATTTGTGTTCAGGAAATTGAAACGACATGAGGGTGAGTAATTAATAGCAGAAGTTCTCATTTTTGAGTGAACTAACGTTTTAAGGCAACAGAAACCCAATTATTTGATAGAATTATTCAGATGGTGTGATGCTATCGGATTTCAGAGC